AGGAGGACATACAGTTTTAAGAAAAATGCTATTCTTGCTCTTTCAGCCAAATTTGGTGCCAATGCCATCTTGGGAGTGTCCCTGGCTGTGTGCAAAGCTGGTGCTGCTGAGAAGGGCGTCCCTCTGTACCGCCACATTGCTGACCTCGCTGGAAATGCCGAAGTCATTCTCCCAGTTCCTGTAAGTCTTGGCAGTGCCAGCTAAGGACACAACCTGCCTCTTTGTTATGTCCTCTGGTTTTGGATCAAGTTTTCCTGAGGGCTGGGTCTTCTACCACTGTTTACCTTAAATTATTCTAACTTGGTTTTTCCTTTTGGTTGCCCCAAGGCTTTCAACGTGATCAACGGAGGCTCCCATGCTGGCAATAAGCTGGCGATGCAGGAGTTCATGATCCTCCCTGTGGGTGCTGACACCTTCAAGGAGGCGATGCGCATCGGTGCTGAGGTCTACCACAATCTCAAGAACGTCATCAAGGAGAAGTATGGCAAAGATGCAACCAATGTGGGAGACGAGGGTGGCTTTGCCCCCAACATCCTGGAAAATAAAGAAGGTAAAAATGATTCAAGTGTGTAGGAGGTGTAACTCTTAGCCCAAGGATTAAGACCTTATTTGCCTAGTAAGGATAAAAAGAGGGATCAGTAGGTTATAGGTCTTGCTGCTCTTTCTTTGCTTCTGTCCTGACAGTTTTTGAGGTCTTGTACTGGTATGAGTCCTTTTCTGCAGAGATGCTTCCTTACACATCAGTGTGTGCAGCTTGACAGGGTGACTTTCAGTGCCTCTTCATCTCATTCCTGCAGCAGCTTAAACTAGGATGTCTGCATGCATTGCAAACATCCCAGAAGCCAGCAGTCAAAAATTACTGGAGCTGTTTTTGTGCTGACAAAGAAAACAGCTTGAGCTGTACCTAGTAATATGTGGGAGTGCCTGAAGGCCAAGCTGTGATATTTGAACAGAACTGTTAGATTGAGGGGGATGCACAAGCCTGCAGGAGGACAGTCTCATGTGAAAAGTAGAACTTTTTGCCCTGTTTGTGCAAAAAATTATCTGTACCAGATTTTTTTGCTAGATTCTGAGGAATGGAACAGCTGATAGGCCGCTAGAGTACTAGGACTCTCTGAGCAGTGTTGCTGCATGCTGCTGAAAACTGTTATGTTATTGCTGAAGGTGCGTTGCCTTGGCTGACCCTGAGCTAGCCACAGAAGTTGGGAGGTTCTGAATCTGCAGGCACATGTAGCTTCTGCTAGGCTTGTATCCTGGCAGATACCACTGAAGATGATCTTCTAGTCCTAGGAATGTTTGGATCTCCAAGTTGCTGGTGGCAGCTGTTTTTACAGTCTGTGTTCCATTAATATCTGAAAGACCTGGACTAAGGTTGCTACTGTAAATAACCTGGCTGACCCAGCTGCTGCTTGGCCTTCGGTCAGAAGCTGGGAGTCTCCTGCTCTTCTCCCTACTGATTTTTTT